TGTGATTTGGAACAGGCAGATACATTCCTCTGTCACCAGATAATCCCTTACACATTTCATTTTGCATATGGGGAAATGCTTTAGAGATGCTTCATCTGTCCATTGGCAAACTTTTCATGTATACTTTCATATATCATAATGAGAATATTTCTTCCTGCCATTAATAGATCACTTAAAGCAGCAGAGTTATTTACAGCGATTTCAAGTCTTACAGTGATTTCAGAGTTCCTATCCTCAGAGAACCCTTTTCACACCAGTTTGTCTGCTCTGTTCATTTACTGCAGAAAACTGCATTTTAGGGTGCTCATTCAGGCCTGAGTGTGCAAGAAATATGTAACATATGTATATAGCTTTGTATTTAAAGGAAGCCCTGAGAAAGCCACAGCTTCCGAGTGCTGAACTTCTTTCAGCCAAGCACCACATTCCAGTTTGGAGAAGTTCTCAGAGGTCACGTTCCATTGCTGGGCAGGGCCAAAATCTCAAACATACCAGAATAAGGAAAGCTCTTACTGTGGCTAATTAAGCTTTAGGAGAAGTACTTCAGACTTTTAGAAATCTGCACAAAAGCCCAGAAACCGTGAAATGATCAGTGACTTGGAGGAAAGGAGCAGAGCCAGGTAGGGCAGTCTCAGAAGCCCTGTAGGACCTGATCAGGGCACCGGTTAGCCAGATTTGGACTTGGGCATGGGCTTCCCCACCCTGCAGTGCATGTTCAGAGTGCACTAGCTAAGCGGACATCCCTAGTGTGCTAATGGTGCAAGTACAGGTACAACAACTTGGTTTCAGTGAGGCAGTGGCTACAGATAACTCCACATGGGCAAGCTGTTCTTACATGACCAGTGTCATGTTTAAATGAGACTTCATGTGGGCCTGACATTTTGGGCTCCACGAGCTCTGATAGGGCCCCTCATCCATCCTGCTTACCCGGAAGTTGACCCACACCAGTGTACTGCTTCTTGCCACCATTGCGATTTCCCAGTAAGCCAAAGCTCTTAAAAGCTGAGTATGTGTCTCCTTTTATAGAAGATGGTGTGAAGTGTTCCCAGAATCCTGATAGTGATATTTGGAGGGCTGCCCAGTCCAATTCCAACTTAAAGATAATGAACCCTAAGAATTGTTGTGTATCCCACTCAGTACCTGAACAGCAGGTTGAATCACAGCCTAGTCACAGTCTTTCACACTGTATTTCTATTTAAATTTGAATTATGATAATTATTATTTCATCATCATTATGCTACACTAGCTTCCATATAGGCTGAAGTGCCTGATCCTGCCTAATCTTGGAAGCTAAGCAGGGTTGGGCCTGGTTGAAACCTGGATGGGTGACTTAAATGCTGTGAACCGCTCAGACAGCTTTATAGAAATGTAATGTTATACTAAAGTAGCATCTACACATAAATTGGCATATTCAGTTTTTAAGCAAATTGGTATCCTCCTTTTGGTGGTCATACGTGCCCATCCTGAGTGTAGCCACTTGAATGGTGGCTAAATGCAGCAAAACAGCACTGCCTAAGGTACCAGGGCCTGTTCTGGGGGAACAGGGAGAGGCACAGAGCTTCTGTCACGCCTGCTAGGAACAGTTTGAGAACCACTAGTTGAAGGCTTCAGTAATGATTAAATCTACAAACCACTGTATAACACCTCATTCGTCAGCCTATCTGTCCTGAAGGATTCCCCACTGGAGACTGAAACTCTCTAAATCCGGTTGGTACTGTTGGCAGACCATGGGTTACTTGCTAGATCCTTTCAAATGCCCATTTATGCAGAGAGTTCATTTCAAGAGGCGTGTGCCTCTGGTTTTCAGTCAGTGTGTTCAAAGATCAGAAACAAGGCACCTAGCCATTTTGCTGCTGTTCCTTCTGCTCTTTCAGCAGTTTGATACTACTATTTCCCAAGGGTGCTTAGTAGCTAAATAGAATCATAAAAAATAGAAGTAATATTACACATCCTAACTGTGGGTATTTTAATGAGGTAGTAAGAAAGCCAGCCACATGGGCAGACTGTTGCAGAAATCCACACTGTGCTCTTGAGTGGGTCAGGAAGAACTAGCTCAGCCCAAGTAGCTCAACTGGATTATTTTTGCTTGCTTGCTTGCTTATTAGAATGTGCCCGTCTGTTCGAGAACTTGGAAGGTCAAACCTCCTTGGTGGACTTACTCATTTTATTGGGGCATATCTGCCTAAGGAAATACAAAGTCTGATTAAAGATGGGGAGTTTCCTTCTTGTTACAGTAATTTAAATCCCATGCATTTCAGCGGGTCTGCTCTAAGCAGGACTTAAATAAAAACCAGAGCTCTGCTCTTTTGTTGTAATCATCAGGAAACATGAATGTTTCACTGAATGTTTCTTACAAGATTTCCTTGAATGACTGTTATTTCCTACTTTGAGCTGGGTAGAAATTCATCCTTTGGAAATGTTGCCAATACACTGAAGCATGGCCATTATTATACTTGGTAAATTTTTCTGGCTCAAATTCAGTTCCCTTAGCATAGTCTCCTCTGGAATGTGCAGTGCTGAATGTCATATTGGAGCTTGTGCATCAAGGATATAGTTGTAAACCACCCAAGAACAGAAAATCTAGGCAGTCAACTTGGTGTGCAGAGTTGGGACTCCTGCCCTGAAGAAGCATGTGGCCAGATACTGAGGCTGGCCTGAATGGTTGGTTGCCTTGCTCAGATTCCAGCTCTTGGGTGGGCCAGCTAATCAGAAAACTCTTCAGATCCAGTTTGGTGTGTGTTCTACAGCTACAAGGGAGAAAAACCAGGGTCCAAATCATAGATTGTATCTTAATTTCCTTTTTTATGTGTAAATTCTTTACTGTAAAATAGGGGAAGGCAGCATAGCACCAGTGTGTCCCCTGGACACTTTTCTTGATACCCACCAAGGTGTTCTGCTCCTCTACTTAAAAAAGAAAAAATGCACATTTTCTTCCCTAGCAGCTGCAGTTGCTCCAAAGCAGCAAGTCACTGTCCTCTTCATTTTCCATGATTGAATTTGGGCTACCCAATGGCTATATTTACATAAAATGACAAACCATAGCAGGAATGGCTAGTTATTATGTGTGAATACCAGAAGCATGGTTAAACATGGCATGTTTGGTTACAGTGAAGAACCATGGAGTTTGTTCTAAGGTTTCCATGTTTCGGCATTGCTTCTTATTACGTGTGGAACCAGTTATGATGTTTTTCCACAGTTTCCCCATTTCAACCAGTGAGCTTGGTGCCAAGAGCAGCTGCGGCTGCTTCATCTGCCATTTTCCACTTGTTTGCCTAGCAACAGCTGAGTTGCAGGTGGATAGGGCACTGGCTGGCTGCCCTCACACTCCTTGTCCTCCTTCCAGGGACATGCTCCCTGATGTCCAGGCACCGCCATGCCTGCCACCTGGCCAATGGCCCCACTCATGTGCTGCTGAAGGGAACAGCAATCATGGAGCTACTGTGCCATTCTAATGAGTAGATGGGTCTCCATGGAGCCACCGAGCTACTCTAATGAGTAGATGGGGTCTCCGCAGAGCAGCAGAAGGAAAAAAGCAGCAGCTGAGAGCATGCAGGCCAACGGGAAAGAGCTGGCTGGTGCAACAGGAATGGGACGCTTTGGAATTGGTTCCCAACGGGTGGGCTGATAGGACGCATGCTGCCGTTTGGAGGAAAGATGGCGGCATGAAGAGTTACCTCATGAATATGGGAACACAGGACACAAGATAAGAAAGGTAATGTGCACAGTAACCATTTGTGTTACGTGTGAACAGCCCCAGTGAATAGACTTTGTGGCTAGCCACCTTTCTCATGGCAGCTATTTTTGTGGTAGTTGATCACAACAGTATCCCAAATCGCCAAATGGGCACAAAAGGAATGCCTTCCCCTGGTGTAGGGGAATACTGATGCCAAATCATCACCCATTACTAACAGAATAAATGTAGTTTCTTATTAGCATTTTAAATACTCTATTATAGCATAAGCTTTACCTCCTGAATGATGAAGGTGAAGGGATACTTTTAAATAACTGAACTATCTTTTGTCTGCTGCATTGCTGCTGAAATCACGGAGCCTCACAGTCTGTTACCATTAAACAGAGGTTTTTTTGGGGGGTGGGGGAAGGAGATACAGCTATTGAAATGGCACTTTATGATACATACATGTCCAGTACTTGTCAGTTAAACAGTAGACCTAAATTAATTAGGAAGTCCCACGCACTATTTTCCTTTAGGGTTATTCTTCCCACTCTAATTCTGTCAGTCTGAGAGAGAGGGAAAGACACATTTCCTCTGTTAGGGCAGTAAACAGAGCAATTCACAATTCTGATGGAAGTTGGAAAATGCCCTCAAGCCAGAATTGCCATTTCAATGAAAATATACTTTTCCATGTGCACTTCTTTTCAGTAAACATTACTTTGCTGTTACCTTGTTAAATGATATTTATTCCTCACATCTGTTTTCACCTGTGAAAATAAAACATGGTGTTTCTGGTCAGGATAAAGGCTTTGTTTTTATATACAGTAGAATATTCATTTCCTAAATCGTTTTGTGCAATATGCAATGATACTGTGAGGGTGCAATCCTATGGCCTCTCAGCATTGTCTGGGGAGCCATAGGATAGGTTGGAACCCCAAAAAGATGGTCTTCCCTCTATGAAGTTGGCACAGGAGACATTGCAGGGGGCAGGGAGGGAAGGAGAGGGGCAATACTGTCCTCTGAAGAAACCTCTTAATGAATATGGAGAATCCAGTTAAAATGGGCTGTGTAACATTTTGGAGGATGAAGGAAGCACAACAGTAATCCTCACCCTTACAGTCTTCCCAACTTTCATAGGTTTCCTGCAATCCTCTCCATTCAGAGGGTTCTGGACAGCTGCATCAGATGGTATCCTACATGGCTTGGGAGTAAATTACACTTCTGGCCATTAAAAATATGTGAGGAATCTATTTTAGGGTGGGAATCACACACACAGTGCAGGATACAAATCTGATACTACATGGACCTTTGTTCTCTTTCTCTTTCCTAGGTGCTTTTATAATCTGCTGGACTCCAGGATTAGTCTTGCTGCTCCTTGATGTTTGTTGCCCACAATGCAACGTCCTTGCTTATGAAAAGTTCTTCTTACTGCTTGCCGAATTTAATTCTGCTATGAACCCTATCATCTACTCTTATCGGGACAAGGAGATGAGTGCCACCTTTAAACAAATACTTTGCTGTCAGCGCAGCGAGAATGCCAACGGCCCGACAGAAGGTTCCGACCGGTCTGCCTCATCGCTAAATCACACCATCTTGGCTGGAGTACATAGTAATGACCATTCTGTAGTTTGAAGAAAAACTGATTTATATATATAAATATATTAATTCTCAGCACACATGAAAATTTAGTGCTTGGTGGATAACTAGTTATGAAAGTATTGACAGCACTGTGGTGGGGTCTTTGAAGCAGAAAAAAAAATAACAAACTTACGAGTTCATCTTATATCACTAATGGATTATAGTGTTTACTCTCCAGTGCTCTGGCCACAAAAACTCTCCAGACTAAAAACCTCACTTTTCTTTTAATCTTCTGTTTGTGCAAGTAGAAAATGAACTGCTCACACCGGAAAGCTGAAAAATCTTTGGAAAAGCCATTTAAGCTACTCCAACTAGCCTTCATCAGATGATGCTTTTGGGATGGTCCTAACTGAAATCATCTCCAATTAATTAAGCTTAATAACTGCTTCACTGCCTTTTCATTTAAACACTTAGTCTTCTTCCTTTTTAAGAAAACAAAAGAATGCATTTCATTTAATAATTATTCCCATCAGCATGCTATGTGATGGACATTTTCTGGGCAAAAAAAGAAGCTGCTACAGCTTCATTTTTATTTACACTATGAAATAACAATGAAAAACTTTTTTTTTACTAGCAGTACAGAAGTCAAGATACTGGTGGAAAAGGACTCTTTACTTGGGTTTACTAGAGTTTGGAAGCCGACACATTGTGCATTTGCAGAGGTGTTCAATTCTCACATTGAAATCAATATGACTTTGAAGTGTTTCTCTGGATTCCCCCCTAGATGTTTAACATTCTTTAGTAAAGAATGGAATGATCTATGTAATGCAGCCAGTAAGTCCCAAGTTTCTCATGGCCAGATCAATAATTTGGGGTATAAAGCTCTTAAAGAGCCACCTTTCAATTGGCTAAGGTGAAGCACAATAGTGTGTGTTTTAAAAGTGTATGTGTGGTGTTCTTATTAAAGGGATTTTACTTTTTTGAAAAGTGTGCTTTGTTAGAAGTAACATTTTCAGGTTTTTAACAGTCGTTTTCTTCACTATATTGCAGCAAGTAGGAGATTTTAATGTTGATATGTTTGCACAGTTTCAGGTATATATGGGTGGATTAGATTCCACCCTGAAACTCAGTCATGATGGGGGAAGGGTAGAGAAAGAAGTTTACCCCTGCAGTGGGAGTCTTTGTTCCTCCACCCACCATGCCATTTGTTTGAAATCTTGTGGGGTGGACAGTCTTCCAAAATTAACCAGCATTAGGAGGTTTATTTACAAAAGGGAATAAAATGCTACACTTCAAACAAAAGATTAATGAGTTGAAATTTTCTCAGCAGTCTTAAATTCAATGTGCTTAGTTAGCATTCCTAATAGGTAAGACTGAACTCTCAATAGCTTTTCTTTCACACCAGATTTGTCTAAATTCCACCTAAACCAACTCCTCTGAAACAAAAACAGATGCTGTACACCAGCCTTCGTCTGCCTTCAGTTGTTGATTTTTCTGGCTCTTTTCTTCTTGTTAGACACAGAACAGGACCTTAAGTGTATTATGTTTTGTGTGGTATCCAGCTGTGTGATTTCGTCAGGACAAATGATGTTGCAATAACGGAAACTAGGTTCTGGAATGTGCACAAGAGGAGAAAATTCGGGTTGTGCTGGCAGTTGTGTATTGAGATGATTGTGCAACTCACTGCACGACAGTTATGTACAATCGATTCCATGAGCCTGATGTAGAAGTGTCTGTGCAACTGTCCTTATACAAACATCTCTTTCATAAGGACAGATAAAAGAAGGTACTTCTTCGCACAGCATAGAGTTAAATTATGGAACTCACTGCCACGGCAAGTGGTGACAGCCGCCAATTTGGGTGGCTCTGAAAGGAGACTGGACAGATTCGTGAGGGAGGAGGCTATCAGTGGCCACTAGCCTTGCTGGCTGTGTGCGATCTCTCACCAGAGGCAGCATGTCTTTGTGTTCTAGTCGTCAAAGCAGGCAGAGGTCTAGCGCCCATCTTGCTTGAGGGATCCTATCAACAACTGGTTTGCCACTGTGCAAGCAGAATGCTAGACAAGATGGACCTTCTGTCTGATCCAGCATGGCTTTTCTTATCTTCTCATATTCTTGTAACTGCTGATGTGATGATCTCGCAACTGTTTGCGCTACAGAACGACCCTGAGGATCTCGGATTCTGTTATTTGAGGTTGTGAAATGATGCCACTGGATGCTGCCCATTGGTTTGCTCCTAAAACGATCAAGTTCAACATATTAAATGTTAAAGTATAAATTCTTTCAACTATGAATGTACTAATTGAGTGTACTTTTATTTGTTTATTTTAATGATAGTTTTATGAGAAAACCAAGTGATACATAATGCATCTTATTTTCCTAAAGTAGCCAAGTGACTTCATATTTGTACAGAGTTCTTTAAAAGTAACTATATATTTTTCCATTTCCTTCCAACTTCTAGAGTTGCACCCCTCCAAAAAATTGATGTAGGGGTACTTTTTCCCCATGGGTTTCATATTTCCAAAAATTGCATATCTCTACAAATGCTGTGGCAAATTTGGGGTGCCATTTCCTCTCAGCCTTAATGTTCATCCTCATCCCAGGTAAGAAACCAGGCTGCATGGAAACTGTGGCATGTTTTAGCAGCATGTGTGAATGCAGACATTGCCTGAGGTACTCACAGGAACATTTAGCTTCTCAGCTCCAGCCTCAGAGACCACATTCCTGCCTCAGAGCTGGGAAATGGAGTTCCAGCCTCCCTCTTCTGCCTCCTTGCAACCTGTGCAGGAAGGAACATGCCAACTGCCCTCCAAATCAGAAAAGGAAACTCAGGGGTAAAAGGAAGTAAGGGGGGCAGAAGGGGGAGGATACTGTCGCAACCAAGATACAAAGTATCCTGACAACGCTTCAGCCCCTTTCCCTCTCGCTCTCCTCCTAAAGTGCCCCAGTGAAGCAGCAGAAAAGGGCCATCTAGCAGAGGAGTGGAAAGTCAAAGCTTGCCTCCACCACATCCCAGGCTGCAATCAGGTGCCCATCATCTTCTCAGTCTGCAGGCTTCTCAATTGGCTTGCACTCCTGCAATATGATTTCTATTACTGGTAGGTAGCTACCTAAATCAACACATTTAAACTCATTGGTATTCCCTTCCTACAGTCAGATCTTTAGAAACATGGCTTTAAAGTGAGGCCTATCATCTTCATAAGTGCAAACACTTGATAAAGATTAAAAAATGTTTCTCAACAATTTGGGACCATTGTAATTATTGTACAGCATGTAGCATCCATGACACATCAGTGGAACATGGTCTCCAGTGTCGAGAATCAGCTTATATGGAAAAGAACCCCTGCTTGGAACCCCTGCTTGAAACTGAGCCAACCTTCCAATGCTCCAGCATGATGGTTAACACATTGGCAATAGTATCATGTTTGTTTGGGTAGAGTATGTAGATTTCTAAGAAGAATGCATAGCAATGTCAAAAAGGTAAAGAGTATGTATAAAGATAATATTTAGTGATATGCAGAGGGCTAAGTGAAAATAAGAGAGAAGTCTGGATGTTCCTGATAGACAGTATCCTGAGATGACCTGCCAATTAAAGAAAAGTTCATACAACAAATACTATATGACTTCCTTACTGAAATTAAATGCAATGCATCCATTGTTCTTTACTTGTGTACCTTGCCTAGTGAAACAGAAGTCGGATTGTTAGAAATTTCAAAGATACCCTACATGCTAAAACACTAATAAAATTTTCTCAATGAATATGTAACACTTGGTTTGTGTGTGCCTGTCAGCATTCATTGGATCTGTGATACCCTAATGGAAATGTTATTGCAGCAGTTGGAATTCCTATTTTTTTCAACTTTTTGGAATTCCACCATCATACCGTCTAGAATTTCCAGAGCTTGTTAACCCTTTAAAAGTATCACATTTCATTGCTAATAGGTACATTGGTTCAGTTTCATTTTATCAAGAATGGCCTGAAGAGCAGCATTACTTATTCCCAAGTTGCACTCCATAGTATTTTGCAGTGATGATACACATGGTTGCCAAGTCATCTGGACTGCAAAGAAGTCTAAATGGCAACATGATTTTTCACTGAGGTAGGATCAGCTGGGTTTCTACCGCTCATATTTCTGCTCCACACTTGCTGGCATACCAACTTTGTCAAAATTCAGTAAAATTGAAACATTATGCAAATTATTCAACTGCAGATTCCATGATTCTACAAATTAATTTTAATTCAAAATGCATAGCCCACATTTTACTTTGTACACGGAGATGCTTGCAGCTGAGAAAGCATACAAAATAAAAAGTAATCCAGTTAATTAAAATCCACAAATTTGCAGCATGACAAAGCTAAGTAGCATCACTCCAGAGCTGATAACAGTGTAGAAATAATCTAGAGAGGCTGAGCTACAGTAACATCACAATGTAAGTTGCACTATAACATCAAACCCTTCTTATTTTGCACAGATTTCACAGAGCCGTCCCTCTGTACCTTCTGGCAAATGTATTTCGGATATACTGGATATTCTTATAGTACGGGTGCTCTGCATTTGCAGTAAATAACATTTTCATTTCATATGATTAAAGGATGGCAAGCACTTTGCAAAAGAATTTGTGAAGGCAGAGACAACAAAGAGGAAGGTCCAGATCTCTTCTTGCTGATGCCAGCCTGTAGGACACGGAATAATCAATTCAAGTTGCAACAACCCAGATTCAAGCTGGACATCAGGAAAAGCTTCTTCACTGTCAGAGCAATGCAACAGGGGAACCAGCTGCCTAGAGAGGTGGTGGGCTCTCCCACACTAGAGACATTCAGTAAGAAACTGGACAGCCCTCTGAGTGGGATGGTGTAATGTGGTGTCCTGCAACAGCAGGGGGTTGGACACAATGGCCTTCATGGCCCCTTCCAGCTCTACTGTTCTATGTTCTATGAACTTCACACATTCTATTTCTCAATACACAAATGCACTGAGTGGACAGAGCTCTAACATGTTTATTTTTGCGTATAACGTATAGGGATCTCAGCCCAGGAATCAGAAGCTGACTGTAGCATCCTGCCATGCATGCACACAATGAGAAATGTGTCTTTTCTGAAATTTAATATGTGCAATGGTCCTGACATACTTCCAGCAGCACAAAAAGTCTATGGTACACCCAATATAAACCACATACATATTATCATTTATTTTAGCTATCCCAATCCCATTTTAATTGTCAGTAAAATTGTCAGTCACCCTGTGCCTTTAACATGCACCAAAAAAGATCATTCAAAATGGAGAACATTTGAAACTTACAAGCATGTATAAAGTTGGAGAAACTAAGCTAATAAAGTGTTTTTCTTGATAACTTCAAAATGTCCCTGAAAAATGGTAGGGGAAAACTATGATTATTTCCATCTTTTTGTGGACACTTTCTTTACCAAAAAAAAAAAAAAAGGTGGGGAGAATAAGCTTTCTAAGCCAACATTAAAGCTTTATTCATGGGCCAAAAATACAGTATAAAAATGGCACCATAAAGTTGATTTACCTTCACATAAAAAGTGGGAAGCCAAAATATACGATTACTGAATAAATCACACCTCATGAAAATGTATCATTATACTTCTGGGGTTTCCTTAAAAGCTGAACAACCTTTTCTGTTGAAATTTAATTATTTATGCTACACTCCATTTAACACTGAACAAGCAACATTTGCAGTGATGCAGAGCTTGTGTGTGTGAGAGCAGAACTACAAAAGCAACAATGGATTTGGAGAAGCAGTTCCCTCCACCTGATGTACATTTTAAACAAGTTCCAGATTTCAGTCCATGTTAGGATGAGAAGCTGAACTATAGAACAGGCTTCTAACTAAACTATACTGTAAAGCTAAAAAAAAGAATCTGGAAAAGAATCACATTAGGCATCTTCAAAGAAAAGCATCATCAGTCTATTACCTGCAAATTTGTTCTATAAGAGCATAAGATTCCACTGAAAACAGCTTTTTTCATTTAGCCAGTGAGAATGCTATGGGCTTTGCAAGACTGAGCTCTATATGGATCCTTCAGTTATAGTTGTGATGTGTGTATGCGTATATACCTTTTAGAAGAAGCTATACATTTCTCTTTGCTGGTTGGAAGTTTGGCTGAGGTTTGTTCGGGAGTCTCTTTGTAGGTTGAGGTCCCCAAATTTTGGATCCATGAGCACATTTTGGAGCTTGAGAAATTGTTATGAGCAGCAACAAAAATGCCTAATCACTGTTTTGGCATATACCTGTCATGTCTATTGATCTTAACCAGTGCCTTATTCAGCAAAAACTTGTGTTTCATGTCTGTGAGGCACCAGACCATCTTTTAAATAGGAGGCTGTCTAATTCAACTAAATGCAATACAGTTAATGTTTCTTTTAAACATATGCTTTGGCAATGTCCCAGTGTTCTCCTCCCTTTCTAGGAGGAGATTATACAGATAAATTCTGAACTGGTGAGTATGTTCCCTGTAATTTAAAAGAGTGTGTTTATCAGTAAATGGTATTTACCTGCTTCATATAAATTAATCCTAGAGGTTGGTGACCTTTTCTCCATACTGCAGAGGCTCAGAGAGGGTGGCTTATCTAAATTTATGGCAAAGGTAAAATTTAAACAAGAAATACCCAATTTATAGCACTGTTTTAAAGGGTGCAAATCTAAACATGGTTACTTAAGGGAGTAATTCCACCGAAGACAGTGGATGTTTATCCAAGTGAACATGTTCATTACTGTGGGTTAAATGCAAGCATGGAGTGTGGATTTTGGCTCATACAGTGGGGCTTCCCCTTGCTGTCCTCCACTGACATACCCCAAATCTGCTCTGGGGTGTCCCAAACCTTTCAGAGAAGGAAGGATGGGGATTCCATTTCACCAGCGATTTCTTCTCTGCAGGCATATAACCAGAGTTTCATACAAGACCAAGACAAGCATTAGGCAGCATGTATAAATAAGGGCCTGGCATTACAGTGATTACTCTCTAGTTGACAAATGATTTATCCAAAAGAGCCTAAGCCTCTTCTTAAAATATTGTAGGTAACACTCAGTCTTTTGAGACTCTGAAATGGTCCAGAAGGCCATTTTGCAAAAGCCTGACCTCTTTTCTTACTGCAGAGGGGGAAGAAGCTACAGCTTGTAAGATTTTCCCTTCAAGATGACCTGAAAGGCCAAAAATTTTAAGCACAAGAAAACAAATAATTCCTGGTTTCCTAGGCAAACATTTCATGAATTGGGATGAGATGGCAAGAGCCATTGTAGAGATGTGAGGGGTGGGAGTATTTGTTTTTTAAACGTTAATATATAAAATGGTTGCAAATTAATTACACAAAGGAGCCCCAGACATTTGCTTTGTTTTACCACCCTGGTGCAAAAAGCCTTTACAACCCCAACCTGCACAGCAAAGATTAAGCAAAGCTGTCCCCACTTTATCTCTGTAATAGGATAAAGTCAATCTGCCTGCTCTTAAGGGGGAGGGGGACAAATACAAAGTCCAGTGCATCCCTGTGCCTTTAAGCCATGAAGGAGAAGAGCAGGTGGGAAGGTTTCCATAGCTGAAAACAAGTGGCACCTGCCAAACTTCTGGCTTCACCAGAAGAATGCAAACGCATCGGGGCTCTAGCTTCTCTCTCCACATCGGGTCGCCCTGCTTTGGAGACCCAGCTAATACATAGCCTTCAGAGATATAGCAGCTTTGAAAGAGCCACACAAATAAACAAACCAACAGTGGAAATAACCAAACAGCACTAGAAAAGATGTGAGAAGGGAGCGATCCTTAATGTTCTTCAGACAGTAGTCATGGATGAAAGCAAGCACCCCAGACACTTCCCTTTAGCTTCACATTCATTGCCCTTGAGGGCAACTTTCTGAGAGGAGAGCCTCTTGTATCCACAGGGGCCCTCCACACCACCTAAAACACTGGTTTTCCAGAACATCTGAATAAGGCCACCATCATTCACAATATTAACCCTTGACCTGTCTTCTACTGAAATTTCATGGTGGATCCAGGCTATAAAGCTTTCATGACCACTGTTTGGGTTAGCCCTGTTGGTAAGGCTGCCGTGTTTTATGACCCATCCTCTACATCCTTGAAGAATCTATTGAAAGCCAACAGCTGAATCAATTTCTGGCAGCAATAGCAGAAGCTTCAGCTGTGCATTTCTGGCTTTCAGGAAGTTCTTGAAGACACTGGAGGCTAGCTATTTAAATGGTGGATGTCAATCCTACAGAGGAACACTGGCATCTTCTTAGGCAAAACATTTTGCTTTCTTTTTCCAAATCATTTGCAGCCAGCAAATACACTTTTTGTTGTTGTTAAAGTAAAATTGTTCCCCTTTACTTACAGAGAATTCTCCTCCACCCACTATAAATGGGAGAATGGTTTGTGTTATTTTTAGCTGTTTTTCATTGTAGAAAGAATTTGGGTTCATAGCTTAATTGAAACCTGTTCTTTCACTAGAACTGGATCTGCATAATAAAATAGCATGCAGAATCATGTTGAAATGTTTTTAGAATTTTTTTTCCATGCAGTTTTGTCCTCCTTCAAAATATGAGTTATGGTCTTTGTGCAACCACAAAACTGCCTTTTCTACCATCATTCCCTTCTATATATCTTATCTTTCTCTTCTACATATATTCCAATCCTTAAGTGGCTTTTAAGATAGTTTTCAGCCTTTCCATGAAAAGAGGGTTGTCATGATGCAGTTGTGGAGAAGGAATTTATGTGGTTCAGCTGTAGCTGACCGAGATCAGCTACTCA